GCCTGCCACGAATGCCTGAACTTGTTGAATTATTCGACTCCATATTCGGTTATAAATAATTCGTTTGGTGTTGTAAAACTGATCTGTTTAACAGCTTTTTAACCGGTATTATTCACAACTATTTATTTGAAGCTAACATGTTATAACTGTTGCCGTGGTTATAAATGTTGTGTTTTATTAGGTGGACAGCAGATGAACCCGTACGGCGGTCAGATGGGAGGCATGAATGCATATGCAGCGTCTCAAGTGGCTGCGATGAGTCTTGGAGGGGTGAGTACCATTCTATTGATTTGTTTTATTGTAACAGTTCAGTTTGCTTTTAAATTAAAAATGCAAAATCTCAAACTGTGATAAAGCTTGTGTCACTGGATATTTTAGAAACTATTTAGAAATTCTGGATTTGCACCATGTTTATGATATAGTTTGAGAAACTGTATAGCTGCTTTACAACTGTTTTGTTATGCACTGTTTTCTTATAAGCAAAAGCACATGTTAAATTTGCCTTCTCGGTACTGCACATTTCCTGTTAAGCCCAAAATCGGCCACTGAATTTGCATAAGACAGCTTATAATAATTTCCGTAGAGTCGTTTTTATTGTATAATTTTTGTACTCATCGGCCACTGTCGATCGCTAGATCTTATCGCTCATTTTGATCCATCTAACGTTTTCAGTCCATCGTGCCAAAGATCTGAAGGTTTTATTTTTGGCGGTTAATCTTTGTTGGAACTAATTTTAATGTTTGTCCGGTCCAGCGATGGTTAGTTCTTACAGCATGTCTGCCCGTTCCCTTTGTTTTTTCATTCGCAGACTCTTGCTTTTGTTCTAATTCATGTATTTGTCTTCCCAACATTTTTTTTCTATCCCCAACAGATCTTCCCATGCTGCGCTGTGTAGTCTGCAGTTTATTCTGGTTTCATGCCTAGAGTCCAGGTTCTGTGCATCCGCGGGGAGCACACTGATCGAATAATTTTCGTTTCAAACAAATTACAGTTGAAAAATTTTTCAGCTTTTCCAGAAATACTCAATACCAATTTTTCTTTTAATTTCGCATGATCTGTTTTCCTTTGCAGAGATGAGCTATCCCATATAGACAGTTTTGCACTTCTTAATGCCTGAGTTCCTTCATTTAAATATGTCACAGGATCGTATATTTGGTAAACTTCGCCTGAGCCTTCAGGATCATTCTCAGTCCATATATATGAAGCCCTTACTATTTTTACAACAGTTAAATTGTTTGGTGCAGGGTCTATAGAATAACCAGTATGAACTTGTGTACAACGCGAATATTTGGCCACTTTCAGTAACTCAGTGATTGAATTCTTTAAGATCAGAGTTGTAGTCACAAACTCTGAAATACTTTGTAAGGGTCACATTAGATATCGTTGCAGTTACAGAAAATCTTATCAGAAGAAGACAGTTGGTTCGGTGTTCGGTGATGTGAAAAGAGAACTAACTGACTGAGTAGAAATGCGATGTTGAAAAAAACATGATGTAAATGAAACTGCTGAGAACGCCATAAGATCTTGCCAAGGATCGAAGTATGTGAAAGAAATTGGCCCCGGCAGCAAACGTCTGCTAAGGGCAGTACATTAGGAGATATTAAGTTTTTAGATTGCGTAGATTGCAGCCATTTATCGTACTTGTACGACATGCAGTAAGTTTGCATTCTTTTAAGCTAGTAAGATATAGCAAAATTGTTTCCTGAAGGAGAAGAATTGATGCGTTTAAGATTACTCTAAAACCTGATGCAAATTTATGTCTTTTTGTATCATTTCCATACATTAATGCTGACAGTCGTGACAGTAGCTACTAAGTAGGTAATAAGGATATTAGCAAATGATCAGTATGAACAATTTTTTCGACAACAGATGCTAGCTGTAAAGTAAAATAGCAATGATTAAAACAAATAGGAACCAGAAGTTTTTCCACACTTTCTTAGTTGCCCAGAAATGAAAATTAATGTAAATATCCGTGTCTGTTCTAATCATGAACGCTTTAAAAAGCATATTTCTTCGCACATCGGCGTCTCATTCTTGCACTGTGCTGTCCGTAGAGCTGTCTGTTACTCACTGCTGTTGATGTACCTGTTGCGTATGCATTTTTATATAATATAGGGAACTAACCTCTATATTGAACTGGCGACTGGCGCTTTGATTGTTGTAGACAACAAAATGGATGGTAGTGTTTATCAGAACTTCCGTTCTTAGCTAAACTACTTAGTTCATCCTCCGGGCAAACAGTGAGGATGGCAGTTGTATGTAAAAATAAAATGCCGGTTTATTGAAGGAGCAAAAGTGAAATGAATTTTAGATATGGTCGCGATGAGACAGCTGCTTGCTATATGGAACATTAATTTCTGCAACAGTTTCCTTCCCTACAAATAATCTGAGCCACAGATCCTACCCTACATATGTCAGGTTAAACTGATTATTGCTGCCTTCATACAGTAATAGAGCTATACAAATTAATGCGTATGAGTTTCTTGAAAACAAAAATTATAAACTTGAATTTTTCAGGGAGGTATGGGATCACTAGGTAGCGGAGTGATGCCGTCGGTAAATAGTGCAGCATTTTCAGCACCTTCAATGGGAAATGCTGTGGGCTATGGTGGATCGGCTGGCTCAAGATCTCAGCCTGGTGGCGGCACTAAGATCAGCAATCGAGCATATGTGGGCTTGGTGACAAAAATGGCAGATAACTATGGATTTGTTGACGATGAAGTATTCTTTCAGACAAAGTAATTTAGCTTATTTACTATGACGCCATATAGTTAACCGACTTTTCACTCACTATCTAGTGTCGTCCGCGGTGCCATGCCTGAGGTTGGTGATCGAGTGATGGTCGAAGCGAACTATAATCCAAATATGGCTTTTAAATGGTCAGCGATCAGAATACAACTCTTAACAGGCCATGATCGTCCAGCGATGCCGCCGGTTTTTTTGCTGCAAAGATTTTTTATATTCGCTTTATATGTTCGTTTTTAGCAAGGTAGAGGAGGCGGTCGCGATCAGCGCTGGCCAGACAGGCGAGATCAAGGAATGCCGCTCCGTCGAGATGCTGCACCGATGGCCAGACGGGACCGTTCCCCAAGGCGTTCTTCACCGCCAAGACATACTCCACGACGAAGTCCGCCTATTCGGCGACCAAGCCCAAGTTTAAGACCAGCTACGAACGTTGTCGGTGGTATGAAAAGAGAACGATCCGCTACACGGTCAATGACGCGTGATACGAACGCTAGTAGGGGCGGATCACCGCCTAGAAGGAAGCCGAGATTAATGCAGAGATATAACGTGATGCTTCCAAGAGGGTCATCAGATTGGTAAAATTATTAAATCGGTCAGACCTCGTAATAGTAAATGTTGTTTTTTATAGCAAAGAAGTCAGTGTTATGACGCTTCGTAAGCGGTACAACAAACTTTACATTCCTTCCGACTTTTTCCATGCTAATTATACGTGGATGTCGTCATTTCCGCTGGAAGCGCCTTTTTCGATTGATCACAGCGCAGCCTATCATGTCATGCATAAGGATGTAGACTGTTTCTATGAAAATAATGCAGTGCTTGATCCACCTGATGTCGACTATCGATATTCTGCTAAGGTATTGCCTGGCAGCTCGTTTGTAAACTGTTTCTGATATGATATGCTACATATGAAACTTTGTCGTAGGTGATGCTCCTTGACTTACCTCCGTATGCAGAAATGTTCAAAAGAACCCTTGGATTATTGGAAGACGGAACATGCAGAACCGACTACGATTTTGAGCCTATTTGTCCGAACAGGCTTATTGGATTTTTAGTCGGTAATTAGCTTGCTTTTAGGACTATACTATTCCTGTAAAATTTATTCTTTCGCGATGACTGCGTAATGCGCTGTATCTAAGATCTAACATGTTCAGCGAGTGCCATGGATTCGGTTAAATGTAGAATAAGAAATTAGAAATTATATTTTGGATTCATTTCGGTGCTTGGCACTGAATTAACTATAGTATTCGAATGGTGTTTATCACGATGACATCACCCTCCTTGCAGTCACCTAAAGGTTCAAGCGATAATGCCATTGTTGTAACTAAACATAATCACTTGTGATAGCAGTACTTAAATATCGTACAATCGGTTGGCTTGTTATTGTGTACGTTTTTCATATAAACGTTGATATAGAAGTGTAATTCTGATTTATTCGTAATTATTTTCAAAAGCTTTTCATATTTTACCAAAAACTGTCCACAGTTTCTCTTGTAATCATCTTTAGTCTTGTATATCATCCCTTTTCACGAGTAGATCTAGCCTCATTTCAGATTCATTCAAGAAAATGAGTAAGATATTCCAGTAATGTTGTTAGGAGCATTCTGTTTCCTACTCCCATTTAGCCTTTGACGTTGAGAAATGCACAGAAACAGCGTTCAGAACGTCACAAAGTGCGCTATGTGAGAAAGAGTTATGGTTAGAACTCCCCGACATTAACACAGAGTTCTTCTAAAGGTTATTAGGTCCAAGGCAACAACAGTGGCCAAAAGAGAACTCATGCCATTTAAGAGAGAAGGATGGTACGGTCCTAAGAGGCACTGTTTGATTAATTTGTCAATAGTCAAATTGTATCATTGTCCATATCATTATCATTTGAAATGTTCATACCATTATCATTTGAAATTTCTATCAACATATGATCACAGTAAGTCTTGTGCAAAAGTACTGAAAAGTAGTAAACCGGAAGTGAAGCACGTGATGAGTGTTTCTTGTCGGCAGGGAACTTTCTTAGAAGGGCAATGAGTTTGTATATGCTGCTCGTAGTCAAGAACTGGGCAAGCCGACAGGTGGATTACTGTCGAATTTTTTTTACTGTTGTAATATTAGGCGATAAGTGAGGAAAGATTTTACCCATCGTATTGTTTCGTAGTCGGAGTAGTGTCAAACTTTGAGTATCGTCTTCATCTGCGATCGAAATGTTTCCCATTCTCTTTATGAAGCTTTTTCAACTTTTGAGGCTTAAAAGGTAAAAGCGAAGTCTTGGCCATCGGAGGACCATGGAGCGCATCTCTTGATGGGCCAGATCCCGAAAATGATCCTAGAGTGCTCATAAAGACAGCTATTAGAACATGCAAGGCAATGACCGGAGTTGATTTGTCAAAATGTACTCAGTGGTAAGTATTCTTTTAAAATATGCGTCTTCTGTTCTGTCTTTGTCCTTACGCATATCCCAAAATTTAGGCCCGTATATGACTGTAAACAGAATGATTAGGTGATGGATTAGTAATCTTTTGGACGGCAGATATTCCCTTGTGGTACCTTCTTGACGGGATATTTTGTGTTTTGATTACTTCTAGTGGGAAATAAGTTTTTCTAAATTTCTTTAAAGTTACTGCTGTTTTAATGATATATAACGTTTTTTTACAAATAAATTTACATGAACTAGGTATAAATTTTTGGAAATCCGATATCGTCGTATGGAAAAAGAACGTCCAACGTCCAACGGATCTGTCAAAGACCAGGAATTAACCACCAGTCCTCCATACATTGCCGGGGTCGACGCAAGGGTCGATACGGTTGTTATTTATGTGCCTGATGTCTGGAACGTTCTTCCTACCAAGCTGGAATTTGAAAATCTGCAGGCATTACTAAAAAACCAGCTCGAAACTAAGATAAACGAACTTGAATATCCAACGGTACAGCCGTCTATGGAAGCATCGTCCGACGCAGTGCCCGGTGCTACCAGTGAACAACAGCGTCCAGCGGATTCGGAAACAGCAGTGGGACCAACGTCAGGCACCAAAAATGCAGAGGTTACACAAAATCAACACCACTTGTATACCGTACTTATTTTGACCTTTAGCTGATTCGTATGTTATTAGTTAGCTAAGATGAGTTAGGCTACCGTTCAATATACTGTGATTTTTCTTTTTGCGCGCTCCAGAGGCACAGATATTTAAACATCGTACTACATGCATAGGATACGCTACGACAGATACGCTACAGACCACTTTACAACAACTTCATGGCACAGAGAAATAAGGCTGAGATTCAGCAGGATAAAGCATATGTTCTTTTAGAATCATTAGGCTGAGTGTTTTTTGTTTTAAGGATGAAGATTCTGGTGTTGGCCAATCCCCGGTTCAGAAACCGAACCAACCAACTCACTGGTCGGCGCTGGATACAAAATCTATGAAGGTCAGAGGAGAAAATTTCACCTCTTAGCTTTTTGTGTTTGAAGACTTAAAAATTTAGGTTAATGAACTAAGAGCCGAACTGGAAGCAAGGGGAGCCGACTCAAAGGGCATTAAATCGCAGCTCACCGTTAGACTGAACAAGCTGCTAAAGACAGAAAAGGAGGAAGAAGAATCGAAATCACCGACGACAGTTACTGATGCAACTTTGGAGGGAAAGGTGCTTTTGATGATGCTCATATGCTCGGTTTAGTTTATTTTATTTTTTAAACCTCCTTTTAATGTAAGAAAGAAGAAGAGAAGCCTGAGACTGAAACAACAGCAAATGCGGCTGCCGAAGAAGGGAAGCCGCTTCAGGATATGCCAAGTCCGAGTCGCGAAAGTGAGAAAGAAAAGCAAAGACGAAAAGAGAAAGAGGTAATCGCGAATTGCTCGTGAGTTACTGTATGTAACAGCCTTTGAAAACTTGCATATATTAGGAAAGAGAAAAGAAAGAGCGAAAAGCAATGCTAGAAAAGCACTACTCACTTCCGCATAACAACACTGGCATATTTGTCTTCCCTAGCAGAGTTGCTAAGGGTGGCAAATTCGACTGTCGGGTTATCTCCTTGCACTCTTTGCTGGAATACAGACCCGAAGACAATAAAGAACATTCTTTTGAAGTAGGTTTCGGATTTTTTGGTTTTTTAGTCAAAGATTTATTTAGGTAGCCGCTTTTGCCGAAGCATTCAATGAAATGTTAATGCGAGATTTTGCTTTCACGATCTACAAAAATCTGTTGTGGGAATATCAGAGAGAGGTAAAACATGGTTTCTTCTGGAGGTTAAGATAAAAATGACCATAAACAAATATGTAGCTGTAATCTT